AGAATTCCTGATGAGAATGGGAGAATTCCCACCAGGAATGGGAGAATTCCTTCAGGAATGGGAGGATTCCTTCAGGAATGGGAGGATTCCTGCCAGGAAAGGGAAAATTCTTGCCAGGAATGGGAAAATTCCTTCAGGAATGGGAAAATTCTTGCCAGGATTGGGAAAATTCCTTCAGGAATGGGAAAATTCTTGCCAGCATTGGGAAAATTCCTTCAGGAATGGGAAAATTCCTTCAGGAATGGGAAAATTCTTGCCAGGAATGGGAAAATTCCTTCAGGAATGGGAAAATTCTTGCCAGGATTGGGAAAATTGCTTCAGGAATGGGAAAATTCCTTCAGGAATGGGAAAATTGTTTCTCAGAAAAGGGAAATTTCCTGCCAGGATTGGGAAAATCCTTCAGGAAAGGGGAAATTCCTGCCAGGAATGGGAAAATCCTTCAGGAAAGGGGAAATTCCTGCCAGGAATGGGAAAATCCTTCAGGAAAGGGGAAATTCCTGCCAGGAATGGGAGAATTCCTTCCAGGATGGAGAAATTCCTGCCAGGAATGGGGAAATTTCTTCAGGAAAAGGAGAATTCCTGATGAGAATGGGAGAATTCCTGCCAGGAAAGGGAGAATTCCTTCAGGAATGGGGAAATTCCTTCTGGAATGGGAAGATTCCTGCCAGGAATGGGGAAATTCCTTCAGGGATGTGGTAATTTCTTCAGGAATGGGGAAAATTGCTTCAGGATTGGGGAAATTCCTTCAGGAATGGGGAAAAAATGCTTCAGGAATGGGGAAATTCCCCCAGGAAAGGGAGAATTCCTTCAGGAATGGGAAAATTCTGCCAGGAATGGGGAAATTCCTTCAGGGATGTGGTAATTTCTTCAGGAATGGGGAAAATTGCTTCAGGATTGGGGAAATTCCTTCAGGAATGGGGAAAAAATGCTTCAGGAATGGGGAAATTCCCCCAGGAAAGGGAGAATTCCTTCAGGAATGGGAAAATTCTGCCAGGATTGGGAAAATTCTGCCAGGAATGGGGAAATTCTTGCCAGGGATGGGGAAATTCCTTCAGGAATGGGGAAAAATTGCTTCAGGAATGGGGAAATTCCACTCAGGAATGGAAAAGGGATGAAAAAAACCCGGAAAAATGATGGAAATGGGGTGGAAAAAATGAGGGGAAAAGGGGTGTACAAAGGGATTTGGGGACCCTGAGGGGATTTGGAAACACTTCGATGGGATGGCTCAGGATCCTTGGGAATCTGGCAATTCCCAATCCCCAAATTTCCTGATCCTGCCTTTTTCCCCCTTTTCCTTCTTTTCCCCCATTTTCCCCCTCATTTCCCCCCATTTTCCCCTCATTTTCCCCAATTTTTTCCTCATTTTTCCCATCCCTTTTCCCTTTCTTTTCCCAATTTTGTTCCTCTTTTTCCCTCCTTCCTTCCCTTTTCCTCTCCTTTTCCCATTTTCACTTTTTCCCCTCATTTTTCCCCATTTTTTCCCATTTTTTCTCTCTTTTCCCAATTTTTCCCTCCCTTTTTCCCCCCTCCCTTTTCATTTTTCTTTTCTCCCCCCTTTTTCCCTCCTTTCCCCCCTTTCTTTATTCCTCACTTTTACCAGAGCTTTTCTTGCTGGGTTCCCACCCCTGTAACTCTGCCATTCCCCTTTTAATGACTCCCTAATTAATTGTTTAATTAACTAATTAACCCCTTTCTGCCCAGGCTATGAAGGTTCTACACCCCCTCAAATCCCCTTGGAATGCCCCCAGAGCTTTTCCTCCTGGGCTCCCACCCTGTAACTCTACAATTCCCTCCATAATGACTCTCTAATTAATTAGTTAATTAATTAATTGATTAATTACTCCCCAGGCTATGAAGGTTACCAGTTCTACACCCCCCAAATTGCTTTGGAATTTTTTTCCTTTGGAATTCTTTTCCCTTTGGAATCCTCCCAGAGCTTTTCCTGCTGGGCTCCCACCCCTGTAACTCTACAATTCCCCCCTTAATGAGCCCCTAAGGAATCAATTAATTAATTAATTAACTAATTACTCCCCAGGCTATGAGGGTTATGAGTCCTACACCCCCCAAATACCTTTGGAATTTTTTTCCTTTGGAATCCTCCCAGAGCTTTTCTACAATTCCCCCCTTAATGAGCCCCTAAGGAATCAATTAATTAATTAATTAACTAATTACTCCCCAGGCTATGAGGGTTATGAGTCCTACACCCCCCAAATACCTTTGGAATTTTTTTCCTTTGGAATCCTCCCAGAGCTTTCCCTGCTGAGCTCCCACCCCTGTAACTCTCCCATTCCCCCCTTCATGACCCTCTAACTAATTAATTAATTAACTAATTAACCTTTTACTGCCCAGGCTATGAAGGTTACGAGTTCTACACCCCCCAAATTGCTTTGGAATTGTTTCCCTTGGAATCCTCCCAGAGCTTTTCCTGCAGGGCTCCCACCCCTGTAACTCTCCAATTCCCCCCTTAATGACCCTCTAACTAATGAATCAATTAACTGATTGACTAATTACTCCCCAGGCTATGAACGTTATGGGTTCTACACTCCCAAATCCCCTTGGAATCCTCCCCGAGCTTTCCCTGCTGGGCTCCCACCCCTGTAACTCTCCCATTCCCCCCTCAGTGACCCTCTGGTTAATGAATCAATTAACTGATTGACTAATTACTCCGCAGGCTATGAAGGCTACGAGTTCTACACCCCGCAGAGCTCGGCCCCCACGGGAGCCTCCTACAGCTACGGGGGAGGGGCGGCCGGGGGCGCCTCCTGGGACCCCCCCAAGGCTGAGCTGGGCCTGGGCTCCTCCGAGGGCTCGGGCAGCGCCCTGGGGCTGGGGGCTGGGGCCGCCTTCGGGTCAGGATCCACCTTCGGATCGGGATCCACCTTCGGGTCGGGATCTGGAGCTGCCTTTGGATCGGGATCCACCTTCGGGTCGGGATCTGGAACTGCTTTTGGGTCAGGATCTGGAGCTGCCTTTGGGTCGGGATCCACCTTCGGATCGGGATCTGGAGCTGCCTTCGGGTCGGGATCTGGAGCCGCCTTCGGATCAGGATCTGGGACTGCCTTCGGATCAGGATCAGGAGGCACTTTTGGGTCAGGATCTGCAGGATCCACCTTTGGATCAGGATCTGGAGCCGCCTTTGGGTCAGGATCTGGAGCTGCCTTTGGATCAGGATCTGGATCCACATTTGGGTCGGGGTCTGGGGCTGCCTTTGGATCAGGATCTGCTGGATCCACCTTCAGCTCAGGATCAGGAACCGCCTTTGGCTCAGGATCAGGAACTGCCTTTGGCTCAGGCTCAGGGCCCGCTTTTGCCTCAGGATCCACTTTTGCCTCAGGATCAGGAACTGCTTTTGGCTCGGGATCCGCTTTTGGCTCGGGATCCACCTTTGGCTCGGGCTCAGGATCCACCTTTGCCTCGGGCTCCACCTTCAGCCAGGGCTCGTCCTCGGGCCCGGCCGAGCCCGGCTCCAACCCCGACTCCATCATCGCCAAGATCAACCAGCGCCTGGACCTGCTGGCCAAGGAGGGCAGCCCGGGGGATGGCCCCGAGCAGCACCACAGGTGGGACCTCAATTAGCCCTAATTAACCCCAAAACCCCCTTTTCCCCTTATTTTGGGGTCATTTTTTGAGGTTCTGTCCCAGAATTCCGGAGTATTCCCAAGGGTTTGGACGGTTAGGGAAGATGTAGTCTCAAATTTTAGCATTTTTCTGGAAAAAATCTCAGTATTTTTAGGTGATTTTGAGAAAGAGAGGAAGGTTAATTTGAAATTTTAGGGTTTTTCTGGGAGAGTTTGTGGGATTTTGTGGAATTTTGGGAAGAGGAGAGGGTTTAGAAGCAGCCAAGATCAACCAGGCCTGGACCTGCTGGCCAAGGAGGGCAGCCCGGGGGATGGCCCCGAGCAGCACCACAGGTGGGAGCTCAATTAGCCCTCATCAGCCTTAATTAACCCCAAATCCCCCCTTTCCCCCCTCATTTCTGGAGTTTGGGGCTGGGCGCCTTCTCCTCGCTTTTTTCCCCAGTTTCCCACCCTTCCCTCCCCATCCCACCCCCCACTCCCAAAACCTCTTCACCCCTAAACCCTTTTTTCCCTCTTTTCCTACTTTTTCCTGCAAAACCCATCAGAATTCCACCCAGCCCCCCCAAATCCCCCCTTTTCCCAGAAACCCCAAACATTTCAGCCCAAATTTTCCATGGAAAATTCCCATTTTTCCCATTTTTTCCAGGTTCCTACGGCACCAACACAGCCAGCTGGCAAGGTGGGTGTGAGGGCTCAGGATCCTTGGGAATCTGGCAATTCCCAATCCCCAAATTTCCTGATCCTGCCTTTTTCCCCCTTTTCCTTCTTTTCCCCCATTTTCCCCCTCATTTCCCCCCATTTTCCCCTCATTTTCCCCAATTTTTTCCTCATTTTTCCCATCCCTTTTCCCTTTCTTTTCCCAATTTTGTTCCTCTTTTTCCCTCCTTCCTTCCCTTTTCCTCTCCTTTTCCCATTTTCACTTTTTCCCCTCATTTTTCCCCATTTTTTCCCATTTTTTCTCTCTTTTCCCAATTTTTCCCTCCCTTTTTCCCCCCTCCCTTTTCATTTTTCTTTTCTCCCCCCTTTTTCCCTCCTTTCCCCCCTTTCTTTATTCCTCACTTTTACCAGAGCTTTTCTTGCTGGGTTCCCACCCCTGTAACTCTGCCATTCCCCTTTTAATGACTCCCTAATTAATTGTTTAATTAACTAATTAACCCCTTTCTGCCCAGGCTATGAAGGTTCTACACCCCCTCAAATCCCCTTGGAATGCCCCCAGAGCTTTTCCTCCTGGGCTCCCACCCTGTAACTCTACAATTCCCTCCATAATGACTCTCTAATTAATTAGTTAATTAATTAATTGATTAATTACTCCCCAGGCTATGAAGGTTACCAGTTCTACACCCCCCAAATTGCTTTGGAATTTTTTTCCTTTGGAATTCTTTTCCCTTTGGAATCCTCCCAGAGCTTTTCCTGCTGGGCTCCCACCCCTGTAACTCTACAATTCCCCCCTTAATGAGCCCCTAAGGAATCAATTAATTAATTAATTAACTAATTACTCCCCAGGCTATGAGGGTTATGAGTCCTACACCCCCCAAATACCTTTGGAATTTTTTTCCTTTGGAATCCTCCCAGAGCTTTCCCTGCTGAGCTCCCACCCCTGTAACTCTCCCATTCCCCCCTTCATGACCCTCTAACTAATTAATTAATTAACTAATTAACCTTTTACTGCCCAGGCTATGAAGGTTACGAGTTCTACACCCCCCAAATTGCTTTGGAATTGTTTCCCTTGGAATCCTCCCAGAGCTTTTCCTGCAGGGCTCCCACCCCTGTAACTCTCCAATTCCCCCCTTAATGACCCTCTAACTAATGAATCAATTAACTGATTGACTAATTACTCCCCAGGCTATGAACGTTATGGGTTCTACACTCCCAAATCCCCTTGGAATCCTCCCCGAGCTTTCCCTGCTGGGCTCCCACCCCTGTAACTCTCCCATTCCCCCCTCAGTGACCCTCTGGTTAATGAATCAATTAACTGATTGACTAATTACTCCGCAGGCTATGAAGGCTACGAGTTCTACACCCCGCAGAGCTCGGCCCCCACGGGAGCCTCCTACAGCTACGGGGGAGGGGCGGCCGGGGGCGCCTCCTGGGACCCCCCCAAGGCTGAGCTGGGCCTGGGCTCCTCCGAGGGCTCGGGCAGCGCCCTGGGGCTGGGGGCTGGGGCCGCCTTCGGGTCAGGATCCACCTTCGGATCGGGATCCACCTTCGGGTCGGGATCTGGAACTGCTTTTGGGTCAGGATCTGGAGCTGCCTTTGGGTCGGGATCCACCTTCGGCTCGGGATCTGGAGCTGCCTTTGGGTCGGGATCCACCTTCGGATCGGGATCTGGAGCTGCCTTCGGGTCGGGATCTGGAGCCGCCTTCGGATCAGGATCTGGGACTGCCTTCGGATCAGGATCAGGAGGCACTTTTGGGTCAGGATCTGCAGGATCCACCTTTGGATCAGGATCTGGAGCCGCCTTTGGGTCAGGATCTGGAGCTGCCTTTGGATCAGGATCAGGAACCACTTTTGGATCAGGATCTGCTGGATCCACCTTCGGCTCAGGATCAGGAACCACGTTCGGCTCAGGATCAGGAACCGCCTTTGGCTCAGGATCAGGAACTGCCTTTGGCTCAGGCTCAGGGCCCGCTTTTGCCTCAGGATCCACTTTTGGCTCAGGATCAGGAACTGCTTTTGGCTCGGGATCTGCTTTTGGATCGGGATCCACCTTTGGCTCGGGCTCAGGATCCACCTTTGCCTCAGGCTCCACCTTCAGCCAGGGCTCGTCCTCGGGCCCGGCCGAGCCCGGCTCCAACCCCGACTCCATCATCGCCAAGATCAACCAGCGCCTGGACCTGCTGGCCAAGGAGGGCAGCCCGGGGGATGGCCCCGAGCAGCACCACAGGTGGGAGCTCAATTAGCCCTAATTAACCCCAAAACCCCCTTTTCCCCTTATTTTGGGGTCATTTTTTGAGGTTCTGTCCCAGAATTCCGGAGTATTCCCAAGGGTTTGGACAGTTAGGGAAGATGTAGTCTCAAATTTTAGCATTTTTCTGGAAAAAATCTCAGTATTTTTAGGTGATTTTGAGAAAGAGAGGAAGGTTAATTTGAAATTTTAGGGTTTTTCTGGGAGAGTTTGTGGGATTTTGTGGAATTTTGGGAAGAGGAGAGGGTTTAGAAGCAGCCAAGATCAACCAGGCCTGGACCTGCTGGCCAAGGAGGGCAGCCCGGGGGATGGCCCCGAGCAGCACCACAGGTGGGAGCTCAATTAGCCCTCATCAGCCTTAATTAACCCCAAATCCCCCCTTTCCCCCCTCATTTCTGGAGTTTGGGGCTGGGCGCCTTCTCCTCGCGGGACTCCTGGGATCCCTTCTGGGACGACCTCCCCTTTTTCAACCCCCCATTCCCAGCTCTAATTCTGATTTTATTCCCGTTTTTACAGGATAAAAAGGGATCTCTGCCCGTCATTCCCACCCCTAATCCCGATTTTATTCCCATTTCCCTCCCCTAATCCCAGTTTTATTCCTATTTTCCAGCTCCTTCTGCTTTGACTCCCTGGGCGCCTTCTCCTCGCGGGACTCCTGGGATCCCCTTCTTCAACTCCCCATTCCCATCCATAATCCCGATTTTATTCCTGGTTTTTTAGGATAACAGGGGATCCCAGTCCATCATTCCCACCCCTAATCCCGATTCTATTCCCATTTCCCTCCCCTAATCCCAATTTATTCCTTTTTTCCACCTCCTTCCACTTTGACTCCCTGGGCGCCTCCTCCTTGCAGGACTCGCGGGATCCCCTTCTTCAACCCCCCATTCCTAGCCCTAATTCTGATTTTATTCCCATTTCTCCAGCCCCAATCTCGATTCTATTCCCATTTTCCCTCCCCTAATCCCAATTGTATTCCGATTTCCCTGCCCTAATCCCAGTTTTATTCCTTTTTTCCAGCTCCTTCTGCTTCGACTCCCTGGGTGCCTTCTCCTCATGAGACTCTTGGGATCCCTTCTGTTTGGGTGGAATCCTTTTTCCAGCCCCAATCCCAATTTTATTCCCATTTCCCCCCCCCATCCCGATTCTATTCCCATTTTCCCTCCCCTAATCCAGATTCTATTCCCATTTCCCTCCCCTAATCCCAGTTTTATTCCTTTTTTCCAGTTCCTTCTTTTCCCACCATTCCTGCTTCCTTTTCCTGTTGTTTTCCCGTTATTCCTGACCTTTTCCTGTTGTTTTCCTGTTATTCCTGACCCTTTCCCTGTTGTTTTCCCACCTTTCCTGACCCTTTCCCCATTGTTTTCCTGTTGTTTTCCCATTATTCCTGACCCTTTCCCCGTTGTTTTCCCACCTTTCCTGACCCTTTCCCCATTGTTTTCCTGTTGTTTTCCCATTATTCCTGACCCTTTCCCCGTTGTTTTCCCACCTTTCCTGACCCTTTCCCCCTTTTTTCCCGTTATTCCTGACCTTTTCCCGTTGTTTTCCCGTTGTTTTCCCGTTGTTTTCCCACCATTCCCGACCCTTTTCACCTGTTTTTCCCCCGTGGTTTTCCTGCCATTCCTGACCTTTTCCCGTTGTTTCCCCATTGTTTTCCCACCATTCCTGACCCTTTTCACCTGTTTTTCCCCCGTGGTTTTCCTGCCATTCCTGACCTTTTCCCGTTGTTTCCCCGTGGTTTTCCCACCATTCCCGTTGTTTCCCCGTGGTTTTCCTGCCATTCCCGTTGTTTCCCTGTTCTTTTCCTGCCGTTCCTGACCCTTTCCCGCTGTTTTTCCCATTATTTTCCCGTTGTTTCCCCGCCGTTCCTGACCCTTTTCCCGTTGTTTCCCCATGGTTTTCCCGCCATTCCCGTTGTTTCCCCGTATTTTACAGGATAAAAAGGGATCCCAGCCCGTCATTCCCATCCCTAATCCAAATTTGATTCCCATTTTCCCTCCCCTAATCTGAATTTTATTCCTTTTTTCCAGTTCCTTTTGCTTTTGACACTATGGGCGCTTCTCCTCGCAGGACT